TTTTTTTTTTTTTTTTTTTTTTTTTTTTTTTTTTTTTTTTATATAGTAAAAACCCTCCCATATATGTCGATTGTTTGTTTATTTAGTTGTGCGCCGGCAAAAACTGGATACAGTGCTTTAATACATATGTATGAAGGTATTTAAAAAAAAAACACAAGAAAAAAGAAATAAATACAATTTACCAAAATTTCACAATGCAATCGGGTTAAATGTCAGTGAAGTATAAACATAGTCACATTACCGCCAACACCAGAACAACCGACTAACATCAGCCTAATCAAACATATAACAATACGGTACACCTTTCTACTGGCAGTTGTAGTAACGATTTGCATAACAGTATGGCAATCTTTCATAATATATCGGCTTGTGTAAAGGAGTACAAAAGGTGAGACCGGCCGTCATTAGAGCTTGTGCTTGAACCAAACCCATCAAGCAGTCAGCGAGTCGAGAGATATTGGGTAACATTTTAACAATAATAAATGTATTAAATTTATTATTTTTTAATATCAATTCGTATTGAATTTTTTATATAACGTTTTGTAAGACTTGTCAATAACAACAATAATAACAACAATAACAACAATAACAACAATAAATGTATTTGTAATAAATCATTAGCACAATCACACGAATGTGCAAAGACATTTTATTTCTTCTCAATTATTGAAAGTTGTCCACTTACACACATTCGAGAGTGTTTATAAGGAATTGTGATGAATAGAGATCCAAATGCATGTTTATAATGCAACCTGTTTACTCTTACCAAAAACTGTGTTAAGTTAATATTATGTAACTAGTTTTTTTATTTTTTTTTTTTAAATTTGCTTTTCGACTCATAATTCTAGGCAATAAACTCTTCTTCGTTCCTCCTTGAACGTATATATATAATGCGTTTTAATGGCAATAAACATGTTTTTTGTTTATTTTATTTATTTATTTATTTATTTATTTTTTTTTTTTTTTTATTTCCTGGCTTACGCGATAGTTTTTGTATTTTTAGATTTCATAATAACAATACTCCCCATGCTAAACATATGCTTGCATAACCATTACCATTCTATCTGTTAATAGTAGTACATCAGAGAATTCATTACAATATATTTCTCATCGTTATTCATGTATTGTAGAGTTTTTTAAAATAATTTAAAAAAAAAAAAAACAAATATTATGATATAATTTTTTCAGCTTTCTTTGACTAATTAAATGTCATTCGTTTTAATTAAAATATTATTTTATATATATATGTTATTATAATGGATGCTTCATTGTTTTCTTCTACTCACATCACATTCTACATATGAATTTAAAATCTCTTATATTCATTATTGTCTTTTCATTGCATTAATGCTATAGCGTAAAATGGCAAAGTAATATAAACTATTTTTAAGTTTTATTATTATATTAGCTATAGAAAAGCAGGTGGATCGAATTTTATACGAGAATCAAAAATCGAAAAAATCAAGATCAAGGAAAATGATTTATTACTGGCATCAAGTTAGCCCTGACTGTACGTAGATGAAATTTTCGTCTTCGCTAAAAGTTGAACTATCTTCACAATTTGATAATCGACCGATATTGAAAGAATAATAAAACGATGAGAAAAACTAAAATAAAAATAAAAAATTACAAACAAAAAAATATTTACCACATAATGTATGCATAAAATTGATGAAAATTTCAAATATACTAAGTATGTGTCATAAAAAAGCGCAGTGCAGTACTTCGACATGTTTTAAACGACGTCGATTTCATTACGATATTTAGGTCCCATCATTGGTAAAATCGCCCCAAGTATGCCACATGCCATATGCATAAGGCGCTAAGTTAATAAAATAAAAAAAAATTTGTACAAAGTTGTTTGTGCAAATGCTGTTCTTCGATATGTTTGGTCAAATTGCTAACAAGATACCTTCTATGAGTTTTAGAATTATTTTGAAAGCGATTAGATTTTCAAAAGAAGAAAAAATTAAATTACTTAGTAAACTTGCCATTTTGACACGATATTATGTACGATTATGTACAACGAAAATTCTCAGACCAATTTTCGAAATTTCGAAGTTTCAAGTTGAAAACAATGAAGAAGAATTCGAATAGAGGGAGGACAGAGCAAGAGACGGACCACCAGATAGATATAATAGCATCAATTTCATTATTCACGCTAATGAACTTCCATGCGGTGTGACCCTAATGAGGTGGAGAGCGGGAGAGGGGGTGAGAGGGAGGGAGCGAGAGAAGGAGAGCAAAGAAGTGAAAGTGAGTGTTTATACTGTGAGGAGCCAAAGTCGGTGTTCGTTTTTGTCTCACGGTTTCTCCGTCTCCAGTGGGGGAGAGAGAGTGCTAGAATAAGAATAGATTAAGAATAGGATAAGAGCAGAATAAAAGTAGAATAAGAATAGATTAAGGAGTAGAATAGGAATAGATTAAGAAGAGGATGGGGATAGAATAGGAATAAAATAAGAATAGGGTGAGAATAGAATAGGATAGATTAACAGTAGAATAAGAATAGATTAAGAATAGGATAGGGTAGAATAATTTAGTTAGTGGTGTTTAGGTGGGGAGTCGAGTCTGGACTCTCGGGGGAGTAGATCGCGAACCGTGAGAGCAGCGGGACGCCACGTTTATTTAAATACGTTTTGCGATTATTATTTTGGAAATAAGGAAAATATCAAATAAAGTGATGCAGTTGATAATTAACCGAATCGTGTATAAATTTTCTTGTGGATTAAATTCCTTTACCGCTGAGCTACCTCAGCCCCAGAGAATGGACATTTTATGCTCTCACATTACACTTTATAGATTTGATGAATCCAAACTACTTATAGCGCCGGCGGTTTTTCGCAACCTAATTACATTTTTGCGTTAAGGCACAATTTTTCAATTCACTGAAAAACAACACAATTTGCATTAAAATCACAGAATTTTCTGCAAAGTAAGCTAAGGTAAAAATCGTAAAACTTTTCAGTGAAAATTGCAAATGATACCTAACAACGCCTAGTATTATTGTCGCGGCTAAAAATGTAAACAGTGACCTAGAGAGTACAAGTATGAATATATGCGATTTTTAGTTTGAATCTAAGTTTTACCTAAAAATTAGAGAAATAACGAACTGTAAGGACTGAAAGACCATTCTCAGTCTAACTTATCATCAAATGTCACGCCTAAGTTAATACTGGACATAAGAGAAGTGTATGGTTTCCTTCTAGTTTTCAAAAAAGCAACAACCCACATTTACATTGCGTAGTATTAAATAGATTCACTAAATCGATATGGAATGCCAACTAAGGCGTTCTTCCTAATGCATGATAATTGTATTTGGGAAAAAAAAAAAAAAAAAAAAATTTTATTTTCATAAATAAACCATAGGCTTTGATTAGAGCAGGTTTTTAGATTTTTCACTTATATATCTTGCGAGGTAAATAAATTTTAAATAAAACTGTTCCGAAGAAATAAAATATTTTAGGTTTTAACGTATTCATGATATATCTTATAATCGATAGAAGAAAGGTAGACTAACATGACTTTGAGTATTTCAGGGGAAAAAGATTTTTAAGAAAAACGCCCTCAGATGATTGAAAGTGCAGTAGAGTGCAGTCATTCAATCTATTTGTAACTAAGTGTTGCACCATTGACCGCCGGAATGGAAACAACGTAATTCTTTCGATTATTGACAAAGTTTTGTATTGATATTGGAAGTCAATCTTTCACATGTGAACAACTGAGTCAAATGTAAACAAATAAAAGTATCATCGTCAGGCAAGCCGGACCATTCAATATCTCATACCATTTCGCTTAATATTTAAGTAGAATGACATAAGGTAAGGCAATTGAATGCTATAAGATGATAGGATAAGACGAACCAAGCAATCAAAGACGACTGGAAATCAACAATCTGTAGAATATTTTGATCCTTAAACAATTTTGAAAAGATGAAAAGATTTATAGGAATTACGTATTAATTGTCAAAGAAGTTTGCCTTTCTTTTATTGAAATCTTTAATCAATGATTCTTTGTCGGCGCCGAACAACTGATAAATTTAATATCACACTAATAAACATAAACAAGAGAACATAAGCCAATGCGAAATCGTCTGGCAATCATTAAAAATGACTTTTATTTCAACGTCTTACGTATTCACACACTCTCGAATTGCTTCCCAAACAATGAAGAGGCGGAAAAACACATTGCTATAACGGTAAAGTAATTGGGCATGAGAGTGTGTATTAAAGAGCTCACGTTGAGTTTTTCTAAAAAACAATTTAAATGAAATAATCTGATGGTGGAAGTGTTGTCTGATGTGCATGCAGACGAAGGCAAGCGTTAAACATTATTCTTTGATATTAAAAGCGTGCATCAACAGGTGTTTTATCTATTGTTTTCCGGAAGAACAGTAGCTTAAAACAACAACCATCGTAACGAATGTTAAGTTAGAGGGGTGTGTGCTGCTGTTTTTTTTTTTTTACTTTATATACTTTTTCTTGGTCCGCTAAGGCCACTCAATGAATGAAAATGGGTGACGATGATATACGACAAACAAAATACGTACACATATATATATATATATATATATATATATAAAATGTCAGATATCACGTTGTTTAGTTTAAGGCCATACAATATATACTAACCGTGATGCAAACTGACGAGTGTTCGGTAAAACAGCAACAACGTGTTAGATAGTAAAGCTTTAGAGGGAAATGTTAACACGAAATGTGACGAGTGTGCGCGTGACTCGAAAGAAAGTTGCTAAGCTTTATGTACGAAGGTTATGACAGCATACAAATGCACAGTGCGTACTGCTGGCCGTGATATGAAAATGCTATATAAACAGGACTCAAACTAAAAGAAAAATTAGTTCTTATTAAAACTGCTACCTGTTCAGTATTTAAAAGAAGAATATCTATCTTAAAGTAAAAAACAAAAAAAAACAAAACAAGAAAGAAAAAAAACAGAAGAAAATTCTAAATAAAACCGATCAAGAAAAGTGTTGATTATTTGAAAGTCAAACAAACGAAAGGACATTTTTTTGCAAATTTCAATAAAGTGTAATTTTTTGAAAGGCAAAACCAAAATTTATTCGTAAATTGTTTCAAAAAGTTATTAAATCTTTCAATTCTATACTGGATACTAAATATTATAAAATCAGTGCATTGTCACCATATACGGATATGAAAGCTAGCAACTCGAATAGCAGCAGCTCAGGCTGTTCGGCTGCCTCTTCTACAACAGACATTAAAAAATGTCGTACAGACATTAGATTGTCCGGCAATCGGTCGCGTTCATTTTTACATTGCCTAAGCAAGCATTTGGGCCGCCATTTTTTGCATCATACATCTCATCATCATCATCACCATACAATGCATCACAATGGCCAAACTATTGTGTACAATAGCCAAGAGGATTTAAGAAGTTCCTCGACAGATTCGTTTTCTCTCAGCTATGAGCGCAATTCGCATTTGGATTGCGTAGCTCATCTAAATGGCGGTATCGGCAGTGAAGGCGGCGGTGGAAGCAATTTAGACTTAAGCAGTGCGGAAAGGACTTCTAGAATATCCTCGGGCTCGGCATGTTCGCGTTTTTCACCTGAAACTGACGATTTAGATAATTCAACAAGTTATCGATATAGTCAACGACACATTTATTTAGATACCAGTTTGTATCGTCACGCGAGCACATTTAATTGTCAAAATGCGGAAGACGACCTCAGTGAAGCAGATAGCGGTAATTCTAGTAGCGATGAAAACGACGACGAGGCACAAAATAATAAAATTAAAGTTAATCAAAAGGAGTCACCAACAATTAGCGTCTCACCTTGCTGCCCATTAACTAACAGCAGTGCAAAAGGTTTGCATTTAAGTCGCATATCGATAACTTCGTCGGTGCGTAGCATGTTTCAGCATATCACCTCGGCATCGGCGGCAGCTTCGTCGCGCAGTCTTTCCTGCAGCAGTACACCGCTGAAGCGCGTATGGGAATCTAAATGCAAAAAAACTAATTCAGCTTCCAGCAATAGCAGTAATAGTAACAAAAAGTCCTCTACCTCCATAAAGGTGAACAGTAACAGTAACAGTAATGGTAACGGTAACAGTAACAGTAACAGTAACAGTAACAGTAACAGTAACAGTAATAGTAACAGTAACAATAACAGTAATAACAAAAAACCTGAAAAAAAACAACAAAGCATCTTACGACCACCAATCAGTTATGTATATATGAAAGGTATGTCTGGTCTATATTCTCGGGTACCTCGATACACGGTATGTTGTCCCTATGGAACCCAGCAATGGGCCTAAAATATCTAGGCTATCTACGTACCTACCTATCTATCTATATAGATAATACCTAAAAATTCCAATCCTTAAGACTTAATATTAAAATAATTATTATTATAAGAAAAAAATTGCGAATTGCGCGAGAGAGAAAAGAAAAATGAAAAATGAAAATAGAAAAACCAATAAGTCCAAGGACATTGCCTAATTATGATTACAAAAAATAAGGCAGAGATTTATAAATGAAATTTAAAAAAATTTGCATTTTTTTAAAGATTTTTTGTCTAAACCTAAAACTTTCATATAATAAAATTTGCAAATAAAACTAAGGCGTACAAAAAAAGCAACAAAAAGCAGCATAACAACAAAGTAGAACAAGATATTTGAATTTTTACAAAACTTTCACCGAAATTAATTAATTAAACCATTATTACAATTACACGCAGGCACTTAAAAGTTCAAATTCGTACCGAATAACATAGGCTTTACAAGCATAGAACTGTCTATTGAGTCAAAAAAAAACAAAAACAAAAAAAAAAATTAAAAAAATAATAATAAAATCAAAACAACAATAACACAAGACATTTAACAAAAAAAAAAAAAAAAAGAAAAACATATCCTTACAAATACTTACTTATACCTATATAAGTGTATTAAAGACACTACCGTAGAACTTTGCCAATAGTTTTAATTTCTTTTTTTCTTAATAGCCTTTAAATGAATATATTACACCTTAAGTTACACGAATTTATTAAAACAAGTAATTTAGTAAAATAAATTTTTCAAAAAAAAAAAAAATAAATAAATAAATAAATAAATAAATAAATTATTATTTACTTTTTTCAACCAAAAAATTCAATTTCAAGTTTTTCTTTGCTTTTTCAAGAATTTATGCGAAAACCAGTACGAGAAACACACACAGCCTCAGAAGGAAATGAAATGATTTCACAAAATATTGTCCGTATAGATTATAAGCTATATACATATATAATAGTTATGTATCAGTTGTATATTAATAAGTACACTCTATATATATATGTATGTAATATATTAAGAATAAAACGTAAAACTATATGAAAAATATGAAACAAAACAAAAAATTGTTTAATTATTCTTCACTTCAAAATTGAAAGATATTTTCGTATCATTTCCATCACTCACACACAGCAAACAGGGTATATTCATCTTGTGCGGATGGTATGCGACACTCAGAAGAACTCAGAGATGAATCCAGCTTTTATTATATCAATCGTTTCAAAATGACTTTCTGTGAATCACTTGCTGAATCGATCTAAACTTGTCTTTCCGCCTGTCTGTCCACATCCATCATCATCGCTTTTTTCTTGTATTTCTTGAGCTACAAATTGCAAACTTTTCGGACTTATTTTGGATAATCGTCATAACAATAAGTGGAAGCAAAGTAGTGTGTAGGGCCGTGATCGACTATAGTCTTTTTACTCGCACCCCTTTTTCGAATTGCTTATCAATTGCAACTGATAGAAGGATAAAAACATTTCCACGCCCAATATGTATGTGTATGTGTGATTCTACAGCAAATCTACAGAAAAGGAATCACTTGGTCATAGGCACATAATATAAAGTAAGTTTTTTTTTTTTTTTTGCAATAAAAGTTATGCATATAAAAGATTCATCTATGAGCAAATATAATTTTCTTAGTTGTTAATAATTAATTGCTTCATTCTATGGCTTATCTAAGTCATGGAGGAGGTTTTCTATTCTACTGAATTTTCTTACATTTTATTAAGTGAACCTTAAAACAATCGAATAAAATTTTCATTCTCTGAATACGAATACATTTTCTCTTCCTAGAACTTTTCTTTTGTTATTGAAGGAACACATTGTTACATCTTTAATACGAACTGTCAATTAGTATATATTAATTTATATACTTGCAGTTGCTTTGAATCTTAGAAAATTAAAAACCTATCAGGTCATTATAAGAGTTATTTGCATATACGTTTGGCAATATTCAAAATATGCTTTACCTCTGACCTTAAGTTTGCTATCAATGAATATGAAACGCTTCAATTCTCAATACTTACACAACTAACTCAACTACCTTGTTCTATATTTATATCTACTGTTGAATGATAGAAGGGTAAACTCATTTTTTAATTTAACGTTTGCAACATCCCAAAAGTAGGCCTCAGAGACTCTACAAAGACCCCATACATATTCTTCTCGATCAGCCTGAAATTCTGAATTGTTTAAGGCACGTCTGTTTGTCGGAAAAGCGAAAATATCGACTTCAAATTTGTTCGAAACGTGAGAAATTTTTGCAAGCAGATTGAAGTTGAAAATGCATTAAATTAATCAGAACACACGTCCACAATAAAGCGTAAAGTGAACGCATCTCTGTGCGAGTTTATGCTTTTTCCATTACTCAAAAATTATGAAAGATATGCTGAAGACGGAAGGCTTTACCCCATGCACTTTGCGAAAAACTCTACGATTTACATGCAACAGTAGGTTCGGCCATGCCCACACAAAGTTTTAAATTATTCAAATTTTCATTTTTCTCATCTCCTTGAAAAGTTTTACATATTTTTAATCATAAGATAAACAAGACGGAGTGGAGTGCATTCTTTAAAGAATGCTGAAAAAGGCGTCAAAATATATATAGTGGATCACACGATCACCGAGGTGGATTAGTTTTTTCATAATAAGGATATCAAATAAAAGGACTTGGCGCGTAGAAGGCTACATGGTAGACGTATTAATTTCAAATTAATTGTGGTCGACGTCACGAAATAATGAATAAATTTTTTCTTAAAAATTCCCTGCCTAGAAGAATGCGAACAGCTAAGTGCGTTAATTGTAAATTAATTGTGATGGACGTCGGAATGCGTGATGTATTAATTTTGCTTAACAATATCTTTTAATCGATTGCAAGGTGTAAGATAAACTTTTCCTCATTCCCATGACGGGTCAAAGATTTTAATGGCGGTGCGTATGCGTGATTCGGCCATAGCCGAACATAATTTTCTTACTTTGTTTGTTTGTTTGTTTGTTTACTTTTTTTTTCTAACCATTTCACATTCGTCAAGAAATTCCTTTTACGGCAATCACTTTCATTTCCATTACATAACATGGCATTAGAGACAAATAAGAGAATTGTGTTCATCTTAGATAAAATTTTGCCGAGCTAAACCTTCAAGTTAACATATAAACGACATTACTTGGCGACTTAATAGTTAATCAATCAATTTGCTCTAAACCTGATATAATAGTTAATCAATCAATTTACTACAGACCTGAGATAAATGTAACCACATTTCATCTGATACCAAGCTAAATTGAGATTATGCGGGTGCATGTGACATACAAAACGATTTGTGATGACTTTAAATTTTTGAAATCCACTTTCTGCTTCTCTCATTCCCTTCCATTTATATATGTCAATTTACAAATTTTGAAAGATGTATTAGAAAGATGGATCAAATTTGCTACATTTTCTAAATTTCTCGTTTCTAAGACATGATGCGTACCACTAGATCGTGGATATTCTTTGCAAGAGAAATACATTTAAAATTCTTTTATTTACATTTTTACTCCTTAACAGTAGGATTGTTCATTCATTATTTTGGCAGTACTTTCTTGTAGTGGCAGTATGTTCTTGTCCAAGTCACTCTACCTTCCGAAAATTATCTATTGATATACATTTTTACAAGCATATTACTATTACCTAAGTTCATGCCTTAATTTTTAATCCGTAACTGATTAACCCGCTTTACCGCTATTCGTTTTTCTTGGCTGGCAGTTGTGTGACGCGCCGGCTTTCCCTCTCTAGGGAATTTATTGTTTGGGAAAATCCCGAACGAGCTGGATTTAGGATTTCCTTAACAATATTGTCGATCCGCATGAAATTCATAGTTGATGTAGCCATGTCTGTCCGTCTGTGTGTCTGAGTGGTGCGTGTTGTTGACACTATCCTCGTCATAAAAATGAAAATATCGACTTCAAATTTGATAACAAACATTGGAATTTTCTGGACGCAGTTTGGCATTGAAATTGGGCTAAATGGGTCCGAGCAGAAACGCGCAACGGAGCGAACACTTTTTTCTCAATAATATCAGCGATTTGATGACATTTTTTGAATTCCTTTCCCATATGTCTTTATATGACAAACAGATTTAATTGTTCATATTTTATGATCCGAGCTTGACCAAGAATAGTAATTGGGCCACACATCGTAAGAGATGTCATGAAAAGTAAACATTTTTAATTTTTATGTGAAATGACTTTTGACATATATTCCTAACAAGTCTTCGATTAGATTCTTGAACAACAATAGACTTTTTTTCGCACACTTAGAAGACTATTTACAACAGGTCGCTTAGAAAACTTGAATGATACTTGTTTAAAACTAATAGAACTTTAGCATTTCCCAACACTTTATTTTATTGAATTCACGAACAATTGATTGTCTTCTTCTTGCCTTAAGCAAATCATTTTTATTCTATAAATGTTTTAAAAAAAAGTGATAAACATTTTCATATCCTTTTGATATGTTAGGCCGTTTGTTTATGTTAGTATGTTAGTACACTTGTTAGCCGTTTGTTTATGTTAGTCTTCTCGTCAAACCTCAACTGCATTAAGTGCGTTTACGTTATAAAATCTCAAGGGAAAGCATCATATCATATCTACCTTTATTATTATATGTAATTTCTTCTCTACACAGTTAGCACATCTTTCATGCAAACTTATTTATATCAAATGAGTAAGTGCTTCAACAATTATCAAGAATAATAAAATCTGGAAAATATAATGAAATATCATAACAAACTAAGCGCCACGTCTGTCCATATATTGGATCCTTATTCTGAAGTCAAGTGCATTCTTAATCAGCGTCAAATACTCAATCGAGATGCAATTGGTACGTCCGTCAGCATGTGTATCTAAGTACTTGACTGCGGTAATTATTCCCGCGGTCGCAACACTTACAACATTAATCACAAATTTAGCAAAAACATTCAAAGTTCTTGCATGCATATTACTAATAAAAATAGGCCAATTGGGTCAAAGGACAGCGCTCGGCTTTTCTTTGCCAAGTGCTCGTAAACCACAACAGACACATCATAATAATTTTAATGCATATCCTATAAATAATCTCCTACGCAATATTACAGAGAATGAAAATTTCATTTTTTACCATACACGGCTTGTGGTACAGGGTATACTAAGTGCCTGCGGTCGTATGTAACACGAAAAATGGCTTAAGATGGTCCCACCTTTTATTATAGCGTTCGATTCAGAATCATAATCCAAGTCTGTCTGTCCGTCCGCGATATCTGTCCATGTACGTTTTCGTTCAAGTTATAGGACGCAGTTTTGGGATATTATGATCAAATTTAGTATAGCACGAATGCTATTAAAAATGGTTCGGATCGGTCCACTTATTCGACCACTCACCATATAATGTCCTATTCTGAAAGGGCTTTAAATGGAATAATATTGTAATATTCAAAATTTCTCAGCAAAAGTGGCTAAGTTGTAGTATTACGACATTCTAAATTGATCTGAAAACTTTGGATCGGCTGGGGCAATTTTTGAATGCCCTCTTATATAACGAAAGCTAAAATTCATACGATAAAAAATACATCATGAAAGTAATTTAAGGTGAAAAAGGAACTGTGCCAAAGACTAAACTGAAGAAAATTGATCCTTTATAGAGCTGGAAAGTCCAGGTTTCAATATGCGGTGATGGAAATTGACCCATAATATTAGTTGGGAAATTCATACAAAAATTAACTTCACAAATAGTAGATCATCTACGTCTATTTATATATCATACCCTATGTAAGGATTAAACTTGTACTACATTAGGTTTCGTTCAGGACCCGCTTCCCTATAAATACGCACAGGAAAATATGCCTTCATAAACAAGATACAAGATAGAATTTTTTTGTTCCATAATAAAAATAAAAATTGTACTAGACAATCTGATGTAGAGTATTTAATGATCGGACTTGCCCGACTAGATGTTCTTACTTGTTTTTATTTGCTTTTAGCATTAAATTGGGTGATGTATGTGTAAAGATGTGCAGACTCGTTTACAGGCGAATATAATTTTCTTACTTGTTTCTCTAAAATTCTTAATAGGTGTAGGGTATTTAATATACATTTTTAATCGCTATACTATATCGTATAGTTTTATATAGGATTGCGTTAATTGTGTAGAAATGATATAATAAATTTCATGCATTGCAATGCTTTTGCTGACAGAGAGATATGCAATCGAATGTAAACAATAGTCCGGAATACAGACCGATGAAAATTTATGAATAAACTATCCTGTCCGTTGCATATCTTTAATAAACAAGTCTAAGTTATATGGTATGGGTGGATACGTGACAAACGAACAATCCTGTGTATTTCTTATATAATTATCTTTCGCTTAAACGAGAAAACAAAATTGAAATTATATTCAAATCTTTCGATGCAGATTTTTTCTATATTCATTATAGATATATAGATTCTCATCTAAACAAGAGATTTAACTGGACATCTTTTCTTCAACTTGAATGCTTCAACAAAATTTTCCGCCTGAGTGGCCGAGTAGGCAAGAGTCTCGACTAGCGACTCAATGGTCGTGGGTTCAAATCTCAAGTGCGGTAGAGTTTTTAATAAAGCCGAAAGCCTTAGATGCCTAGTGCTTTATAAGACGGTTTAGTCTTAGAATTTATTTCTTTGGCGAAATTAATAATAATAATAATAAAAATAATTCTTTTTTTTTTGTTTTTATTGAAACTTTAATGTGTTTTAATAAGAAGTTCGCGCGTACATATGGCACACTATACCGACATCGTACAACAAGAAACGTACGATACGTTTGTAATGAAAGTCATTTGTAAAGCAACTGACAGCAGGCAACAAGTGCAGCATTATATGGGCTAATAAGCGAAAAACATTTCCCGACACTTCATGTAAACTTGCATTTGTATTTATTGTCCGTTCATTCACTTATTGCTCGTTGTCATATACTATATATGCTAAACACTTCCCATTATATTGCGGGCCTTATATAGCTGATGGATGTGAAAAGAACTCTGCTTTAATCGTTTTAATCGCAGCATTGCATTGCATCGGAAGAATTGCATTAATGTTTAGAGAGCGGAAAACTTATCCATCAACTGCCCTTATATATGTAAATGTGAATATTTTTTTGCAATTAGAATTTGTACTCGCTGAGAGAACTAACCTTACTACCGAAACGAGGGCAGAGTAAATCCAGTCAATCGTATCCCGGGGATTTAATCATTTTTAATTTGAAAAAGTTATAGGACGGACGATGGAATGGATGCATTCACCATCTTCACGAACTAGATATTAATCAGACAAGCACTATGCACCATCGGTCATGGCGCGTTTGAGATGAGGTTTTGCCATAGTCTTCATATGCACAATTAACGCAATGCTATACAAAATGATAGCTATATCCGCTCCAAGTTGATAGTAGCGGTTATACTTTTGTTGTTAGTTTGTTTGTTTCTCTTTTCTTTTTTTTTTTTTTTTTTTGCTTAATATTTTCATTTTTTTTTTTTTTTTTTTTTTTTTTTTCTCTAGCAAAATAAATAATAATAAAACAAAAGTGTACGCGTGAAAGCTACTAAAGATTTTGAGTAAATGCTTGGTTAATAACCCTATAAAAGTAGTGAAACACTATATCCTCAGGAAGTTATGAAAAACAAAAAAGCGGAAATAAACCAAAAAATAAGTGCACACAAACACAAATTGGGAGAAAGCACGTAATCGAGCATATTACGAGAGAGTAAATGCATTCGATTGTGCAGACGTGAGTAATTATTGTGCAGACAGAGAGAGAAATTTTGCCGAAAATGCGAAAGCAAGAGACCGGGACTATAAAAAGAAGCCGCTAACAAAAAACAATTTCAGACAGTTAAGGACATTAAAAGTGCATGGTTGTCATTGGCGTTCTTTGCTCTAGGTAAACATTATTGAAAGTTAAAAGTTTAACAAAGAAAAACTAAATCTCTTCTGTAAGTATTAGCCGGTTATAATAAAAATTTAAAAGTGAATTATATATATATATATATATATATATATATATAAAGAATTTAAAAAAAAAAAAAACAGAGAGAGAGCCGAAAAGAGAAAGAAGAAAGAAAAAGCGAAAATATTATTATTAAGCAAGACATACTGAATTTATTTAAGATAAAATGTCGCTTGGCCATGTATGTTTCGCTGATATGTTGCCTTCGACACCGGCAGCATCTAATCAAGTTAAAAATGTCGCATCAAATTTTTACGCCAATGATGATGCAATACGTCAATGCAGTAGTTTAATCAGAAACAGCCGTGACCGTAGCGTCTCACCCAATAGCGTAAATTCACCAACACCACGTTACATACGTAATATGGGCTTCTTTCGTCAGTTGAGTCGTCGTTTCGGTTTGAGGTCAAACGATGACCTAATTTATACAACTGCCAACGACGATGATAATCAAAGTTCATCGACCGATTCTTGTTCTTCAACGCAGGCGGCTGCAGCGACTGTAGTCATAAATAAAGGGCGGGAATTGCAGCAGCAATTATTGCAAACAACTGATTCACATATTTCGGGTACTTCAAGTGAGACGAGCAGCACCATGGAGGATATCGACGAACCAACGCAAACAGATTCGAATGAACAACAACAGCAATCACAACAACAAAAACAAGAATTAAATAAACAACTTTCATATAATAGTCGCGCTAGCTTTTCGCGCCTGCAGCGTCGTTCGACTTCTACCATACGCAAGGCCTTGGCAGGTTTTTCTTTAACCACACGTTCTCTATCATGCAGCGGTGCTCCACCAGCTCAGCCGCATAGTGAATGCGATACACCAAGCTCCGCTAGCAGCACTCCCATTAAATCCGCTTTAAAATCATCATCAAATCTCGAATTGAATAAGAAAACCTTAACAAATCATTGTACACATCAGCTCAAACCAGCAGCCGCACTTAATGGTAAATCAAATAAAAAAGTCAAACCACCGCCACAACGTATACTACGTCAGCCTGTATCCTACACATATTTGAAGGGCATTTCCGGTTTGCCAACGCAGCGAGTACCGCGAAATTCGGTGTGCTGTCAGTACGCGAGGCACTAAACGCATTTAAAGCATTTTTTTCGAATTTTGCAAAACAAAAAAAAAAAAAAACAAAAACAAAAAAAAAGGTAGAAAAAAGAAAAACAGCAGACAACAGTAGACAAGGCTAGAAAATTGTTGTTGTTTGAAGAGAGGAAAACTTTGATGTCGTTACCAGAAACGTATACAAAACAAAGTCAAGTAAAAGTAGTTGCATTGATTTTCATAACAGTTTTTCTTTCTTCATAAAACACACACACACACACACACACACACATACACACGCGGACATATACCCAAACACCAAAATACTTGGAAAAAAATTATTTATTTATGTATTTGTTTTTCTTTTGATTCAGTTTAACAGCATTGCGAAAATTATTATCCTTTTTTGATTATAATCATCATTATTTATAATAACTGTGATAATGGGAGAAGATATACGCATCTAAACAAAGTCCAAGATATTACATTTGTTGTTTTTTTCATAAGAAAAAACATAATTTTTCATATCAATGTTAGAAGAAATTTTTCATACTAATTTTCTTTCCTTTTTTTTTTTCTCTTTTTTCTCCTTTTTTTTTTTAATTAAAATACATTAGTTATGAACAAAATTAATTTTTTATTAAACTTTACTCATAGTAATGGAAGCAAAAAAAAAAAAAAAAAAAAAAAAAAGAAAATATTATAAAAAAAAAAATTTTTTTAAAAAAAAAAAAATAAAAAAACGTATGTGGTGCCTTTTTTACATAACCAAAAAAAAAAAAAGAAAAAAATGAAAAAAAAAATCAAAAAACAAAAAAAAATAGAAGAATTGCAACCTAAGAGAAAATCAGTTTATATTAATTTTTACTATATTATCGCACACTCGTTAAAACTCGTTGCTGTCTCCATTACGTTCTTCCTTCTTTTCTATATGCAAGGCGAACAAGTTAAAACAAATAAGTGAAATAAAGTTTATATTTCATACACGTACATACACACATTCATCTAAATCCTTTGAAGAAATGCACGCGAACATATAAAAATACATACATATTTACATGAATAATTACTTATCACAATAGAGAAACTCTTCCGTAAACTGCCAATAAATACAAACCTGCAAAAAAAAAAAAAAAAAAAAAAAAAAAAAAAAAAGGAAAAAAGTAAGAAAAATAGCTAATTAAATATATTTATAAAAAAATATACAATAAATTTATAAAAGCAATATATATATATATATATGCATATATATATGTATATTGATATATATTAAATTATATTACATAAATATATACGTATGTATACACATATAGATATACGATACCCTCTGTACTCATTCATATGCAATATTAACATAACTAACTACAAAAATATGCATTTGCATTAGCTGAATGAATGTTTGTTTACTTCTTTAACTTTTTTTTTTTTTTTTTCTCCATCTTTGCCATAAGTATTTTACACTACCAGCATATTTAATAAACAAATAAAGCTAAAGACCATAGAATGAAAGAATAAAATACAAAAACCGTAACACAATAATGAATTAAAGCAATAAATTATGTGCATCTTATCTCTTATATGTACTTTTTGTAGAATGATCACAGTTGTCACAGAATGTGTATTCATGCGTGTATGCAATTTAGAAGCCGAAGGCATCACACATTTTATTATGCGTATTAGATATGAAAAGAGCCCATTGATAAGTGACGATAGCGAACGCGAAAGACAGAAAGTATTTTGCTTTTAGAGACAATTACAAGTATTCATAAAAGCGTTCACATATATATATATATATATACATATATACATATATACATATATACATATATACATATATACATATATACATATATACATATATACATATATACATATATACATATATACATACACAGACACGAACACACCCAAACCCATTTGTCTATTCGACATATTCTTAACCAGCGTTAAACGAACGAAACTTACAGTAACAGTAACAAAACGGATGGAGGATGCTTTTGCGAAGCGAGTATATGTGAAATCAATAAAAATGTATGATAACGTAAAACAATTTATTCTATCTATTACTTAGCATTTTAAATTCGATTAAGGGTAAGTTTAACATTTTTCATAGGAGCGCATCATTTCACTTTGCTTCTTTTAGGATCATATCTTAGTATATATTATTATTATTATATAATTTTCATTGATTAGTCAATTTATCTATTGGACATTGATGGAAGTGTCGCCTCTTTTAAATCAAGCTTAGATTATGAGATCGATTTTGCTAAACGAATGATAAAATGGTTTCTAGGAAATATTCTTCTGCCAGTAACAACACACAGCACGGCGAGGTGTAAAGAGGACAAGTAACGGCTGTACGTGAGACTTGAATTGTGCCATCTTCAATAGAATTTAGTTGTTCTGTAACTATTGTGTCGATCTTTTAATTCATTTGTATACGGAATCGCGTAGTCTCAAGCCTTACATTAAATGCACTTAACTCATATATCACTTTATCGCGACGAATTGTTGTTTCAAAGAATAAGGCCAGGACGGCGACCTCTGCCGCATAATTGCACAATCGATTCATTCAATCATCGATAACATGAATAACATGAACGTGCAATAATACGAACGGGACGAACGCATTTGTTTCCTTAGAGTGAAACGCCGAAGCGAAATTGGAAGATTTGATTTGGGAATAATGCTCTCTGCAGGATTTGATAATCGTGATAATCGCGCGAGTTTTTGTGTTAACAATTAATTATATATATATATATATATATATTAGTTTGGGGAAAAAGAAATCCATTATTTTTATATGAACTTCAGGACTTTATTTAACATGCTTCGGATTGTCCGATTTGGGTCAAATATGCACCGTTTTGTTGTATGATTTATTGCCATTTTAAAGGTAACTTCAAAATGCCTCTCTCATAGAAGTCCTGGTCTCTATTTGCAAAAAACTCTAGTAGTCGATTTTCACAATCCTCCCTAGATTCCAATTTTTTATCATTAAAGAAATTTTGCAATGCAAGAAAAAGATGATAATCGCTTGGTGTCAAGTCCGGACTGTATGGCGGATGCATTAAAACTTCCCAAACAAGCTCCCGAAGTTTCTAGCGAGTCACTGTAGATGTGTGTGGCCTAGCGTTGTCCTGGTGGAACACGACACCTCTCCTGTTGGCCAATTCTGGTCGTTTCTGGTCAATCGCTATCTTCAAATAGTTCAGTTGTTGACAGTAGAGATCAGAATTTAGCGTTTGGCCATATGGAAGCAACTCATAATAAATAATCCCCTTCCAGGCCCACCAAATGCATAGCAAAACCTTCCTGGCCGTTTGAGGTGCTTCACCGCTCTTTGACCACGATCGTTTTCACATAGGGTTATCGTATGTGATCCATTTCTCATCTCCAGTCACCATCCGTTTAAGAAATGGGTCTATCTCATTCCGTTTGGCCAAGGCTTCGCAGATGGAAATTCGATCCATCATGTTTTTTTCTGTTAATTGGTGTGGCACCCAAACATCGAGCTTCTTTTTGAATCCAGCTATGTGTAAATGGTTTAAAACTGTTTTATGGTCGATTTTTAGCTCCTAGGCGATGTTACGACTGCTAACATGCCGGTCAACTTCGATCATTTCTCCGATTTTATCGACATTTTCGACGACCGGCCTACCTGTGCGAGGTCCACATAATTGGCTGTTACAGTATCGGAACCATAAACACCATTCACAATTTTAGCCGCCTGGCTTGCATTTTCGCCTTTGTCAAAGAAAAACTGTAAAATGTATCGAATTTTCTCTTTGTTCACTTCCATTTTTGACACGCTGTAACTCACAACTGAATGCACCAAACAAAAAACAGCCAAAGAATATTTTTTACTGCGAAATGTCACCTTTCCAACGAGCATAAATCTGAAATTGTTTGATCGATACTTTACGAGAAATCTATCAGTGCAGCCATCTACCGAAAAAATAATGGATTTCTTTTTCCCCAAACTAATATATACAAAAAGTTTTCAACTTTTATTTGCTCTCAGCATAAATAAAATTTACTAAGCGAAATTTGAAATATATTGAGATCTATTGTTTGTAATCTCTTCCCTATGAAGGCTCCTGTTTAAAAATCCTATTATCGCAACGCGACTAATGCGTTTGCAGAGACCATGAGAAATGAGAAAATCGAAATATCGCTCAAGATCTAATTATACACTCAACGAATTCCAAGCCGATCATCGTATTGTTATACCAACTTTTCTCATAGCATACATAGTCTATTACATAATACAACATGATTACTATACATTTGTTTGTATTACAAGAAAAAAAGGCGCAATATTCTTAAAAATAGGAAGAGTTGTATTAAATTGTACCAATTGAAAGGTGGATCTACCTCCTTATCGCGAATTGTCGAACCGTGATCGGAGACAAAATATGACGAAATGAATTTGCGGGTAAAACAAATTTTGGCTGGGCATGAAAGCTTCTCGAACTACGAGTAGATAATGCTTGCGATATTTGCCAATGTCTATAAATGACGCGGCCATTAATCAAATGTCCTTTGCAGATCTTTGGGAATAGAAAATACATCTTTTATAACCGGTTAGCAGTCAAGCTGACGGTTACAGCAATATGACCGAACTGGATGGACGAATGGTGTTTAGCATGGCATTCCCTGATATAAAGCCAAGCGAAGACGACATACGAATATTTTAACCTCAGACGACAAAGATGAGGAATGCTGGACAATGAAATGAAAATCAATCAATGATCATAAGGGTCTATTTCAAGATAATGCGAAAACGGTTCCAAGATGGTTTTACTTAACTGCCATCACGCTGCCATTATTTGCATAAAAAAAATAAGAGAAAAAAAAGACAACTTAGGCAGCCTAGCTAGCTACCTACTTTTTTGTAATTAAAGTCATGCCTTACATATACTGTGTGGCTTAGTCTGTTACTAGGGACGATGTCATGATTAGACAGCAACAAAATAATAGCGTCCTTTACGATATATTAAATATCTGGAGTGACCTTATCTCTCTCACTTTGCACATTCGTCATCTTTGCCTAACCTTCTATTTACGCTGCATGGTAAGTAGTAAAAATACAATTTTTCTTTTTTTTTTTTTTTTTTTGTATGTTTTTTTCTTGTAACGTGACACATGATTTCGCTTTTCATTTATGTCTGTATTTTATGTTTTTATTCACTTTTTGTAATTGTATTGTTAATACCTTAACGCACCTTAACTATCAATGATTGCAATGATGATCAAATGCCAACAAATGTGAAGGTAGCCCGCGTGATACGTACGATGCACTAACTTTATGCCAGTAAAAATTATACCTTCATTGCAGCTAAAAAAATAAATAGTTTTCAAGCGAACCCTTTTATGGATTCAATAATGTAGACCTAGATGGCATTATAACTTTTTCTTACTTTTCATAGCAATTATTGTATGGGATGTATTGGGCGATACAAAAAAATTGTCCCATTCGATGCAAATTTTTTGAATCAAATTAAGGTTATTCAGCGAAATTGC